AGAGTGGTCTACAGGACAGAGGAGAACTAGTCCTGTGGGTGGGCGACTGTGATTCTGTAAGGGGGTAGGAAGCCAGGGGCTGGTAGTATTGAACTGTTGACCTTATGGTCAGCAGCCCAGCGAGTAAGCACTATGTCACCAGAGTCTGAACTATTTATTATCTGGCCCTTTCTGTGCAAAGTTTTCCAATCCTTGGAATAAAGTCCATTTCTAGATAGAATTCTTTACTAACAACAACAAAAAAGAATGAATGAAATGCATTTTCATTGAAAATTGGACTTCATTTTAAAATATGTCTCTCATGAGCTGAATGCTGAAAGAGGGATTTGTAAAACCAAGTGCACCCTGACCTCCCACTTCTTCAGATGAACCAGAGCTATATTCCTGTGTACTAGCTGAATAGATACCCTAAGGCTTAAGAATCCCACATAAAAGGAATGAAATGACTTATTCTCTAGTGTTTGAGAGAGAGGCAGGTCTTGGAAAGGTATGCACCCAAACACACCTTTACAACACAGTAACTTTAACAAACGTATTGATGGAGAAAACTAAGCCACAATGCCCTCACACCTGCTCTGACTTGCATGAGAAAGGAGGTTTCCTTGCTCTGGACAATGTAGTCATCGGTATAATTTGCCTAGTATATCACTGTCCCTTTCAACTACTGGGAGGTATTTAACATGATTATCACACAGCATCTACTCCCTGAGCTCACGATCAAAAACTAACTAGAATGCACAGGACAACCTAAAAAAACAGGCGGCAGCAAAAGCGGCCCAATTCAAGTGCAGTATCGTCATTTCCAATTGCACATGCCAAAGGAGCCGCACCTGTGGATCAAATCCCACGTAGGTCAAGAAGCAGCTCATCAATTGCATACAGAAAGTGAAGCGAGTCCCCATCACTACAGAAGGTCCTTACCGCTTCGTTGGCAGTATGTCATCTCTACTTTGTACCACATCACCCCTTCAACGCTCGGAACAGAGAGATGTCTCAGATCCCTGACTCTAACCACACGCTATAGATGTTTTATGAAAAGGCAATTATAAAAAAGGATTATCTTGTATATTCATTTTTCAGTGAAGGAGGGGGAAATTTCCCCTTTAGGAATCGTTCTTTGCAGTGGGGCAGTGGGATCTGATCCTCTGTTGTGGTTGTTGATGTTGCGAGTCCTTGAGTCAGTTCTGACTCCTAGCAACAGGACAGAAATACTGCCTGGTCCAGCGCCAATCACGTGGCGGTGCCTGCTAGTGTTACAGCAATGTATTCCTGCCATCTAGTGGTCATAGCTGGAAACAACTCGGAAGCACAGCTCCAATTACCGTACTTCTAGAAAAACCTAAATCTCTCCAATAAAAGCTCCAACATTTTCCCCTTTTACTCAAAACTTTAAAGATAAATTTATCATTAACTTATAAAGTAAACAACAGATCATCAACTTTTCAAACTTTAAACACAGAATTTCTATGGAGCTGAAATAACCAAAAACCAAAATCAAACTCCCTGCCGTGGAGTTGGGTCATTCCCTGTAGGAAAGGCTAGAACTCACCTCGTGGATTTCCCAGAGATGGTGACTCCCTATAATGGTAGAAAGCCTGGTCTTTCTCCCGCGGAGGAGACAGTGGTTTCAAACTGCTGATCTTGCAGTTAGCAGCCCAGTGAACAATCACTACACCACCAGGATTCCATTGAAATAAAGCCACTGCTATACGAATACGACAGTATGCTAATACTGTTTAAGCATCAGTAGCTTCACTTGGATTTGTGGATTGCTTTTACTCATGCTATGCCTACAGCTAAACAAAAATTTATATTTGTGTGAATCTAAATTTTAAAATAACTTGAAGCCATAAATCTCATAGACAAAAATGCCATTTCAATAAGCTTTGTATGTTTAAAATAAGATAATAAAATCGCTTCTTTCCACGTTCTTGCCCCTCCTCTACCTACCAAATGTTTTACCCAGACACTCCTGTCTCATCTCTCACTTTCTCATAGTACAACTTTTATAGGTATACAGCCAAATTTTTAAAGAGCTTTAAAATTATAAAAAGTTCTGTAAGGAATGATCATTACTGAAACATCTTGTTAAAGTCATGTAATAACTATTTTTTCAGCAAGATAGACCCTAAACCTTAAAACTGAGTATTTTAACAATTTTCCTTTTGTTTTATTAGAAGAGTTTAATATCCACAGTAGTCTTGCCAGAAAGAATAATCAACAATTAAAATATTTAGTATAGAATAGAGATGGACAACAAGTTATGACAAAGAAATATTAGGTTACATGGAGAAGAAGAATTTAGATACTTAGAATTTTCTTTCATTAATTTTCAAACTATGTAAACTTAAATAAACAATAAGAGCTTTAGTCTATGTGTATGTGTGTTTACAAAGCATTCATAGGAAACGAATTGCCTCTATACTGTACATCACATATTAGTTTGTTGTTCTGTTTTTTGTTTTTTCTTGTTCAGCTCTGACCACGCCTAAAACCTCATTATCCTTCTGTGGGGACTGAATGTAAAAGAATTTGAAGACCCAGGTAAAGAGAGGCTCATGTATACATTCCCAAACCTATTTACAAATGGATATAAACATAATTTTATATTACTGAAATGTAATTGTCCTAGCGTCTTGATTCTGCAAATCTTTATTGCTCCAAGCTGGAGTTTGGAATATACACTAATGGTTCGGTATCGAGCTGCAAACCCAAAGAGCAGTGGTTCAAACCCGCCAGAAGCTCACCAGGAGAAAAGACCCAGTGCTCTGTCTCCATGGAGAGTTCTGCCCGGGACACCCTAGGCAGCAGCTCTACTCTGGGACATATATGACTTGGAGTTGGAATCGTGGAGCCCTGGTGGGGAAGTGGCTGCACATTGGGCTGGTAACCACAAGGTCAGCAATTCAAACCCACCTGTTGCTCCAAGGGAGAGAGTCTTGGCTTTCTACTCTTTTTTGTTTGTTCTTGTTGTTTTTTCTACTTTTACTGGGGGCTTTTACATCTCTTACCACAATCCATAAATTCATCCAGTGTGTCAAGCACATTTGCACATATGCCGCCATCATTATTTTCAAAGCATTCTCTTCCCACTTGAGCCCCTGATATCAGCTCCACATTTCTCCCCACTCCCTCTCCCCCCACCCTCCCTCATGAATCCTTGATAAGATATTATTTTCATATCTTTACATCATCCTCCATCACCCCTCATCCACTTTTCTGTTGTTCGTCCCCCTGGGAGGGGGTTCTAAGTTGATACTTGTGATCAATTCCCCCTTTCTCACCCACCCTCCCCTAATCTTCCTGGTATCTCTACTCTCCTTGTTGGTCCTGAGGAGTTTATCTATCCTGTATTCCCAGTGTTTTGGGCTCTTACCTGTAGCTGTGTGCATGTTCTGGTCTAATCCAATTTGTAAGGTATAATTGAGGTCATGATAGTTGGGGGAAGGAAGCACCCAAGAACCAGAGGAAATTTTTGTGCTTCATTGATGCTATACTGCACCCTGACTGGCTCATCATTTCCCTGTGACTCCCCTGTGAGGGGCTGCCCAATTGTCTACAGATGGACATGGATCTCCACTCCATGCCCCCCTCCCCATTCACATTGGATTATTCTGGGTCTTAGATGCCTGATACCTGATCCCATCAACACCTCATGATCACACAGGCTAGTGTGCTTCTTCCATTTGGGCTTTGTTGCTTCTGAACTAGATGGCCACTTGTTTATCTTCAAGCCTTTAAGACCCCAGATGCTA